TTCCCCTGCAGTGGTTTTGGGTGTTCCTGTCGGAGGGGAGCATTTGAGGCAAAACCCACAAATAGATGCAAGATGTCTAGCAGGACGGGCTAACCAGATTGTGTTAAGGAATTGTGAATAGGCCCTCCGGTCTCAGAGATATCATGCCTGCTACTACTGCTGTCCTTGCGATGGGAAGGTGAGTGGGCTGGGGCAGAGGAGGGTGGGGAGCGTCTGAAGCTAAATGTCCCAGAGATAAATGTGGGGCTCTCCACAGTGTCCCTGGAGGACCATACAGGGTATGAGCTGCAGACACCAGGGCCTGTCACCGTGCGGGAGGGCTTGCATGTCCTGGTGCCCTGTTCCTTCTCTTCCCTTCAGATGGAACCACTCAGACCCACTTTCCACCTCTGTTTCCTGGAAGGGGCCAACGACCCTAGGATTCTCAAACAAACCAACCAGGTCAGCAGCTGCAACAGAGGACCCTGGGCTGCTTCCATAACCTCAGGGACTCCCCAGACCAATAACTGCTCCCTGAACATCAGAGACGCCAGGAGGGAAGATGGCAGGGTGTACTCATTTTGGTTGGAGAGGGTGATGCTGGGTGGCTCCCGGGGAGGCCAAGGGAGGCCTCAACCTGATCCTGGGGTCCAGGTTCTTGTCACAGCCCAAGGAAGGGTTTGAGAGCATGACAGAAGGATTTAGCAAAGCACAGTAAATTTATGAAAGCCACAGTATGCTTTGCACTCAAGAAGTGAGAGATGGCGACCTCTGAGAATGGAACACATCAACGCAGTCTGCGTGGAAGGTTTTTAGTAAATGTGGGCAAGGGGGGTGGATAGGGTCATGACCGGCTTCTGAAGCTGGTGTGGTGACTGCTGAAGGCAGCTTGTCCTTGTCCCTCCTTTTCAGACAGCAATTTCTTTTCTCTCTCTCTCTCTCTCTCTCTCTCTCTCTCTCTCTTTCTCTTCTCAATTACAGGAAATGTGGGAAGGGGAAGTGGGGAACAGGTCAGTGAAGATCACGTCTTTGATGTCTGGCCAAGACGGAAAAGGGGAGGGGTAGAGCTTGAGGCCTTTGTCCCCTGGTCTAAATTTCCTGCCTCAAGGGCACCTGTTGTGAAGTTTAGTTTCAAGAATAAGACTCGGTTTCTGAATGTAACAGTTAGGACAGGGCCGTTGCTGATAGTGTAGGGGCAGGGATCAAAGTGAGAGTAAGTACACCCAGAAGCCGAGACTCAGAGGGGAGGGATTTTGGGGGCTGGTGCAGAGGCCACTTCCAGAATCACACCTTGGAGTCCCCTCTCCATGTCTTGGGTTTCTTCCTCTGTTCTTCCCAGCCCTCACCCAGACACCTGACATTCAATCACGGCACCTCTAGAATCTGGCCAACCTGGGACCCTGATCTGCTCCGTGCCAGCAGCCTGTAACTGGAGGAAGCCCCTGACCTTCTTCTGGATACGGGACACCCTTATCTCCTTGGGTCCTGGATCAGCTCACGTGACAGAGGTCACCATCATCCTGTAGTAGGCAGTCAGATAAGCATGAGCAGAGTGGGGACGATTGGCCAGGTGCAGAGGGTCACCAGGGCGGAGAGCCCCAGGTACCTAGCAATGGGCAAAACTACAAGCCCTCACATGACCGCTCCCTGGAGTACTAACCCCATAGATGACATCTAGGCTTCATCTGTGTTTCAACTTCAGGCCCAGAAAGGCAGAAAAACCAGGGAGAGCAACGCCATGGCTGACCTCAGGACCAGCTGCATTGAGGTCCTCCCCTGAGTCCTCCAGAGAAAAGCCATCAGGATAGAAAACAAGCCCCCAGCA